GTTTCGTCATAAAAAGATGGCGGCGCCAGCGCTTCTGGTGAGCTTTTTCGGGTAGAAATGGCTTTCTACCCGGAAAAGCTCACCGGAAGCGCTGGCGCCGCCATCTTTTTTTGATGAAAACGTGCTTCCGGTGAGGTCACCGGAAGCACTCTTTCATCAAAAAAAAGATGGCGGCGCCCAGCTGATGCCGGTACCGGGCCGCGGCGTAAAAAAGGTTGGGGATCACTGTTTTATATTATTGTGATTTGCAATACCATAGCGTGATTTACGATTGCCCCTTTCTGGCATGTTGCTTCAACTTAACCTAGTGACGAGTGATTGTAGGATCAACTAATGGTTTGTCCTAACAGTGCAGGTAGTCCTCGACTTACAACAGTTCATTTAGTGACCATTCCAAGTTCCAACAGCACTGGACAAAAGTGACTTATGACCATTTTTCACACATAGGATCATTGCAGTATGCCCCATGGTCACGCTGGTCAACATTCAGATGCTTGGCAATTGACTCACATTTATGATGGTTACAATGTCCCAGGGTCGTTGCGACCTCCTGACAATCAAAGCCAGATTCATTTAACAGCTGTGTTATTCATTTAATGACTGCAGTGATTCCCTTAACAAACGCGGCAAGAAAAAGTCATAAAATGGGGCAAAACTCAGTTAACAAACTTCCCACTTAGCAACATGAATTTTGGGCTCAGTTGTGGTCGTACGTCGAGGACTACCTGCAACTAATCACGATCAGCCCTATTTCATTTCTGAGCCCAAATTGGCTTGGCCAGATGCTACCACTTCTTTAAATTTGTGGTGTGAGAAGTGAACGCCTGGTTCTTGTTTCCTTCTCAGAGCTCCTACGGGGATCGGAAGAAGTCTCGGAATCTGGAAGCTTACGTGGAATGGTTCAATAGACTGAGTTATTTGGTTGCCACAGAAATATGTATGGTAAGCAAAACGGTTCCTTGGTCTTCCTTCTGTATGCGGTGCCCTTCCTTCCTTCTGCTCCCGTCACACCACAAAGACCAGCTTGGAGCTATATTCTGTGCACAAGATTGTATGGTACAGAAGTAAAACTCTGCACCAAACCCCCTTGAGGTTGCAGCTTTTGTTTGAATGGAGTTCACACTGGTAATTATTCCTTGCTATACCTCCTGTTGATTTGTTCCTCCGATGTCCTTGCTTACGCCACGCAAGGAATACGTCATGCAGTGGTAGGATTCAATTTTTTTTTTACTGCCAGTTCTGTGGGCGTGGCTTGGTGGGCGTGATGTGGTTTGGTGGGCGTAGCAGGGGAAGGATACTGCAAAATCCCCATTCCCTCCGCATTCCTGGGTGAAGGGTACTGCAAAATCTCCATTCCCTCCCCACCCCACTAACCTGCTTTCCAGCTCCGTTCTCCTGTGCAGGGCAACCAAAGAAGAGCCAGCCTATCAGCTGGGACTCGGGAGGCGGAGAATAGATGGGGGCGGGGCCAGTCAGAGGTGGGATTTGCCAGTTCTCCGAACTACTCAAAATTTCCACTACCGGTTCTCCAGAACTAGTCAGAACCTGCTGAATACCACTTCTGAATACGTGTGAGTGGGTGTATTTTTGGAAAGCTGACAGCCCAGGTTCGAGAGCCGAGTGCTGTGCGACAGGGTGAGCTCCCATTCTTGCTCAAGCTCCTGCCTATCTAGGAGTTTGAAAGCATGCAAATATGAGTAGACAAATAGGTACCACTTAGATGGGAAGGTAACAGTGTTCTGTGTCTCTTTGGCATGTTGGCCACATGACCACGGAAATTGTCTTCAGACAACGCTAGCTCCCTCGGCTAAGAAACAGAGATGAGGATCGCGCCCTAGAGTCAGATACGACGAGACAGGGAAAGGTTTACTTTTGACTCCAGCCTGAAATGTCACTTGTTTCTTTAAAAGTTAAAATCAGTGCTATCTAAAAAGCTCAGAGATCCTTCTTCCCATTTGGGCAGGTTCTCAGCTAAATCCCAGTGTTGTGTTTTGCTCTCTCTCACAGCCTATAAAGAAAAAACACAGAGCAAGGATGATAGAATACTTCATTGACGTCGCCCGAGAGTGTTTCAACATTGGCAACTTTAACTCTTTAATGGCTATTATTTGTGAGTATAAATAATGCTTTCTATCCGTTTCCTTTTACGTTTTGCTTTGGAAAAAGCGCTTAGGTGTTTCTCCTTCGTCTAATTCTGCCCCAAAGCTTCTGGATCATGTTGGATAGCTTGGCAGCCTCCACATTTGTTAGGGTCCCTAGGATTTCTAGGAATTTTAAGTCTTAAACCGATGTTTCTCAACTGTGACAATTTGAAGATGTGTAGACTTCAACTCCCTATGTTGGCTGGGGAATTCTGGGAGTTGAAGTCCACACATTTTAGCCTGGCAAGGTTGAGAAAAATGTCCTTAAGCTTATGAAAAATAATAGAGTAGAGAAAGCAACTCCTGATGTGCCTCTTTGTCCCTTCTTCCCCATAGCGGCATTTCAGGATCAAAACATGTCCTCACCCAGCCTAGTTTTACTTCATTGATGAATCTTTGCAAAGATAGTAAGCCCAGCCAGGATCCCTCACATAAACTGATACTTCACCTGCATTAAAAATGGCTGCCATGTTTTAAGCCTTTGACTTCAAGATGAGTTTACTTAAATCTCTCTCTGTAAAAGCGAAATACCACTCACGCATCATCACGAAATCTCCAGAACCGTAAAGCCTACAAAATTGAAATTTGCCACATATTGTTCTTCTTGGCTTCTAGGTGCTCGCTAAGAAAAGGATTTTTCGAAATGACCATCAGAGCATTAGTATTTCCTGTATTGTTATTAACACGCTCTGATGCTAAGGAGTTCTACTCCCCCTCCCCACCTGAAAAGAAATCTGTTCCAACTGCAGTTGAGCTAAGCCACGCCCAGGCTCCTTGCTGTCTCCTTCTTGCTCACACAGCAAATAATGTTTCAGTTTCCAAACAGCCCTCAACTCTTTCACACACTGACAAGACGCTAGCCAGATGAATACCGATGGATGCTGGTAGGCAGAGATAGAATTGTTTTTCCTTATTTTTCTCCCCAAAAACTTGCCTGATCACATAGTTTTGTAGCAAAGCACGGGTACCCTGCTAATCTCTCATAAATTGGAGGTTGCTTAACACTTGTGAAACATTTTTGAAAGCTTATTTTATTTATATGTCCTCTGGCAGGAAAGCAAAGGAAATCTACCACAAATTTCTCTTGAAACAGATTTCTATCAAAGGAGTTGGCAGCTAGAAATCCGTGCCCAAAATGCTTATGAATAATGAGTCTAGAAAGAAATATAACTTTCTAAAATGCTATCTATAGAAATGTTAACCATGCTTGCATTTTTAAATGGCTTGTTTTGGGATAATGGGTTGTAATTGGATGAAAAAAGAAAACTGGAAAAAGTGGATATCTTAGTGGATGGTTATTTTTTCCTCATTTTGAGGAAAAATGGCCTCAAAATACGACTATGTGTTTTATTTCTTTTCTTCTCTTTTCCTCTACACTTTGAAATAAAAGCTGGAATGAATATGACTCCTGTCTCCAGATTAAAGAAAACCTGGTCAAAAGTCAAGACTGCCAAGTTTGACATTCTGGAGGTAAGTCTGACCTTTTAATCTGAATCTTTGTTATTCAGGTATGTTTGGAGATTCTCAGTCATCCAGTTCATGGTTGTCCCAAAAGGTTGCTTTTATAAAAGGCAACTAGACTGTTTTTCCTTGAAGACGTTTTGTTTCATGATTTTAGGTTGGAAATCCTTAAATTTGTCTAGTCTGATGAAAAAAGAAGGACTAGGGGAGACATGATAGCAGTCTAGCAATATCTCAGGGGCTGCCAGAAAGAAGAGGGGGTAAAGCTATTCTGCAAAGCACCAGAAGGCAGGACAAGAAGCAAGCGGTGGAAACTAATCAAGGAGAGAAGCAACCTAGAACTAAGGAGAAATTTCTTGACTGTTAAAACAATTAATCGGTGGAACAACTTGCCTCCAGAAGTTGCAAATGCTCCAACACTGAAAGTTTTAAAAAAGATGTTGGATAACCATTTCTCTGAAATGATATAGGGTTTCCTGCCTAAGCAGGGGGTTGGACTAGAAGACCTCCAAGGTCCCTTCCAACTCTGTTATTCTGTTCTAGTCCCAATACTCCAGGAAGATACCATAGTGGATTTTGATTTTTGAAAATGGATCCTTATATTTAACAATTCATCCGTTGCTACTTTCAAATAATTTTGATCATCAGCCCTTTCGGCTAGAAATGAAATTTTACAATTATTTGCTCCATCTGTTGTTGTTTTTTTCCCAGATTTGGTTAGCTTTTTAATCCATAACCTATTTTGACTCTTAACTTTAAAACTGTTCAGTGTGTGCTTTACATTGGAAATGGTCTCCCCAGGTTAAAAGCTGGACTTCTAAAGCAATATTTTGATGGAATATTAAACCTTCTGACACAAAATTCTAATTCTCTACATTTCCACTTCTCCTTTTTCTAGCATCAAATGGACCCTTCCAGCAATTTCTACAATTATCGCACAGCTCTTCGTGGGGCTACCCAGAGGTCTTTGACAGCTCACAGCAGCAGAGAGAAGGTAATGGTCTCAGAAAGAGATAAATACAGGTAGTCTTTGACTTAGAACCATTTGCTTTGTGACTGTTTGAAGTTACAACGGCACTGAAAAATAGCAATAGCACTTAGACTTAAATGCCGCTTCACAGTGCTATACAGCCCTCCCTAAGCAGTTTACAGAGTCAGCCTCTTGCCCCCAATAATCTGGGTCCTCATTTTACTCACCTCGGAAGGATGGAAGGATGGGTCAACCTTGAGCCGGTGAGGATCAAACTCTTGGCAGTGGGCAAAGTTAACTTGCAATACTACATTCTAACCACTGCGCAGCATGGATGGATGGATGGATGGATGGATGGATGGATGGATGGATGGATGGATGGATGGAAGGAAGGAAGGAAGGAAGGAAGGAAGGAAGGAAGGAAGGAAGGAAGGAAGGAAGGAAAAAAACAGCAATGCAATAGAACAGGAAGGAAGGAAGGAAAGGAAGGAAGGAAGGAAGGAAGGAAGGAAGGAAGGAAGGAAGGAAGGAAGGAAGGAAGGAAGGAAGGAAGGAAAAAAAAAACAGCAATAGCAATAAATTTAGACATGTACCATTTTACGGTGCTTTCCAGCCCTCTCTAAGCGGTTTACAAAGTCAGCCTCTTGCCCCCAACAATCTGGGTCCTCATTTTACCCACCTTGGAAGAATGGAAGGCTGAGTCAACCTTGAGCTGCTCAGGATCAAACTGCCGAACTGCTGGCAGCCGGCAGTCAGCAGAAATAGCCTGCAGTACTGCGCTCTAACCACTGCGCCACTGTGGCACAAAAGTCATTGATGACCAGTTTTCGCACTTAAGACCATTGCAGCATTCCCATGATCATGTCATCAACATTTGGGCGCTTGGCAACTGGCATGTATTTATGATGGTTGCAGTGGATGTGATCACAATTTGTAACTTTCCCATCCAAGCAAAGTCAATGGAGGGGGGAGCCAGATTCACTTAATGACCACATAATTCACTTAACCACTGCAGTGATTCGCTTAATAACTGTGACAAAAGAGGTTGTAAAATGGGGCAAAATTCACTTAACTGCCTCGCTTAGCAATGGAATTTGCGGCTCAGTTGTTTGTCGTTAAGTCGAGGACTGCCTGAATTTATTTAATCTATTCCTTTAATTTGGTCTCCCACTCATTGTATGACTTTGGGTGACCCACAGTGATTATCATTAACAATAAAAATGTCAGTAACAACACACAAAAAACCTCAAAATAACATCATTCCACGGGTGACACATATATCCATATCTGCAATAATCTCAAAAACATCTTGGTTTGGTGCATGGGAACAATGTATGGAAAGCCAGCAGGTTGGGGGGGGGGGTCATTCAAATCTTGGGCAGAGAGGTATATTCCTTCACATTTGAGCAAGTGATCAGCTTTTAAATGCCGACATAGCCAGAGGCATCTTGTGATGACCCAGGGTGGGATACAAAATAAACACAGTCACAAAAAAAAAAAGATGAACCCTTTTTTTGTTCCTTCACTTTGCTTCCAAGCTCCAAATATCCTTGACTGGAGACAAAAAACTCCCACACAAGCAGTTACAAGAAAGAGGAAATGCCATTTAAACTAAAAAATGCCTATAAATTATAAAGAGTAAAAAAACAACACAAACCAGGCAAGATAAGGGCTGGAGGACGTCCACAGATAACAGAACACACACTGGGAAGGACGCCAAACTCAGAGAGGAACCATAAACTAGAGATATTTCCATGCTTTGTTTCCAGCACTCGCCCGTACGTATGTCCATCCTCTTATTCAGTTGTCACAGCTGCAGCCCATGAAGAGGATCAAGGCCCTCTCCTCCCGAGTAGACCACGTCTCTCCCTTATCCTCTCCTCCCTGCATGCCCTAGGATGGGCCTGGGTCCTCCTCTGACTGCCCAGCCAGCTTCTGCCCTTCCCCAGCCTCCTTCACAACTTCCGGAGCCACACTTCCACTCCCTGTTGGCTGTTCCTCCTCTCCCTCGGGCATGACACATCTAGAGGGCACTACATTGCAAGTGGTTGATCGGTAAAAGTGGTGTGCGTGTGTCTGTGTTTGTATGTGTGTGTTGTAAAAGAGTTATGAATAATGCAATACACTGAATGCTTGGCAGTGCGGAACTATGGCCCTTTTATGACTTGTGGACTTCAATGCCCAGAATTTCTGAGCCAGCTCAGGAATTCTGGGAGTTGAAGTCCACAAATCATAAAATGGCTTGCTGAGGAATTCTGGGAGTTGAAGTCCAAAAGCCATAAAAGGGCCACCCCTGGCTTACTGGAGATGGTGGAACTTAAATTCTGCAGAATAAGTGTTTGACCAGAGGGGATAGACAAGCAAAGGATCTTCGGTTTAGTTTCAGCTATGGCCTCTCTTGTTGTATAGCTTTTTGGAGCTACCTCTGCCCCAAACGTGATGCGGTTTATTCTTTATTTGTCCCAAATGAGACAAAGATGTTTTTTCCCTCTTGTTCCAGTCACAGGTCTGTTGCTAATCTGGATTCTTTTTTTCTCTCTTCTTTCAGATTGTGATCCCATTTTTCAGCCTGCTTATCAAGGATATTTACTTCCTCAATGAAGGCTGTGCCAACCGCTTGCCCAACGGCCATGTCAATTTTGAAGTAAGTAGAGCGTCCTCAGGGTTTCCGAATTTCTCTTAAACTCTTAACCTCGTCGAATTGAACGCAGGAGCAGAAAACCTCGTCAAGATTTTGGAGTGCAGAGGCAGGAACTTTGTACAGGTTACCTCACGGCTCTGACATGTTTCCTTCCCTTCCAACCATGGTTGGTTTTTTTGAAGAGCCCTATGTTCTCTGAAGGGACTTGGTGGCTCAGTGGCTAAGACACTGAGGTTGTCGATCAGAAAGGCCGGCAGTTTGGCAGTCCGAATCCCTAGCGCCACATAACGGAGTGAGCTCCCGTTACTGGTCCCAGCTTCTGCCAACCTAGCAGTTCTAAATCACGTAAAAAAATGCAAGTAGAAAAATAGGGTCCACTTTGGTGGGGAAGGGAACAGCGTTCCGTGCGCCTTCGGTGTTTAGTCATGCCGGCCACATGACCACGGAGACGTCTTCGGACAGCGCTGGCTCTTCTTCAGCTTTGTAACGGAGATGAGCACCTCCTGCTAGAGCCAGAAACAATTAGCACGTATGTGAGAGGGGAACCTTTACCTTTACCTATATTCTCTAAGCATGTCTTGTTTTCACTGACAAAGGGCTGGTTTTTTCTTTCCCAACCCACAGAATTAAGGAATAGTCCATCCTTACAGGCCTGAAGGAGCAGGACTTGAGCAGAATTACAAAAGGCAAGGGTTATAAGGGGTACCTGGTGCTCTTTGACCTTGGTTTTTTTCTTCCAGATGTTTCTTTACTCAAACAAGATAACATGTAAGGGGAGTGGGGTTTGCTCTCAGTTTATAATCTAGTGAATGGCCCTGTCAATATTGGTGAGAATGGTCTTGGAGGTTCTTTCCTTGGGCTGTAAGATGTTAGCTATCTACCGCTAGCCAAACAAACTAACAATAAACAGCCAAATCAAAGAACCTCTAAGACAGTGTTGGCAAACCTTTTTGGCACTGAGTGCCGAAACAGGAGCATGGGTGAGCGCCGGAAACCGGAAGAGCAGCTCCCTGTGCGTGCACATGGGCGTGCTGGGAAACTGAACTTCCGGCTTCTGGCATGTGCCCCGGCCACCTAGTCTTCCTGTTTCTGGCACGCATGCATGTGCGAAGCTGGCTGGGGCGCATGCATGCACTGGAAACCGGAAGCTCAACTTCCCGGTGCGTGCGTGCACGCTGAGGAGCAGCTCTTCTGGTTTCCGGCGCTCCCACGTGCATGAAGACCAGCTGTCTGGTACGCATGCGCGCCAGAACCCAGAAGAGCAACGGGCGACGGCTGGCATGCCTGGAGAGATGGCTCTGCATGCCACTTCTGGCACGTGTGCCATAGGTTCGTCGTCACGGCTCTAAGACAACACTGGACAGAGTAATTCACCGGAATATAAATTGAGCGCAAACCCCACGCCCTTCTAGCCCTGATGATGTAACTAGGGTAGGTATTGAAACATCTGCAAGAGAACAATTGAGCTTCAGAGACCATCAAGGACCCCGCATTTCAACCCTGAGCTGCTAATGCTCGTTTTTATTGCAACAGTTTAATGAACTATCCTTCTGAAACAGACCAATCAACCCTATTGCCTTGTTTTAATGGATCCCTTGTACCTGCTTAGCTTATGTACTTTTCCTGTTCTGCTTATTCCTTGCAGAAGTTTTGGGAATTGGCTAAACAAGTGAGTGAGTTTATGACCTGGAAGCAAGTGGAGTGCCCTTTCGAGAGGGACCGGAAAATCCTTCAATACCTGCTCACCATTCCAGTTTTCAGTGAGGACGGTAAGAGAAGAACACCTGCAATTGTTCGTCGTGTTGTCCCAAAGGTGTTTTCTTTCTTTCAAGAGGCAACTGGACTTTCTGGTTTTTCTTTTGAAGACCTTTCGCTTCTCATCCAAGAAGCTTCTTCACCTCTGACTGGATGGCAGGGAATGGAAGGATTTATACTCCTTGCAGACAGCTGGCCATTTGCATTCAAAGAGGCCATCTATTATGTCAACATTGATCAGCCCTCTCCCAACGAAGGAGGGAGGGATAAGACGTCATCTATCTCCAGTCTACAGCAAGGCTCCACACCCACTGGCACCACTCCTGTGACCCTGATGACACAGATAAATCCCCAGGTGGCCTCAATGACTCGCTAAAAGGATGCAAATGACCAGCAGTCTGCAAGGAGTATAAATCCTTCCATTCCCCACCATCCAGTCAGAGTTGAAAAAGCTTATTGGATGAGAAGCGAAACGTCCTCAAAGGGAAACCAGGAAGTCCAGTTGCCTCTTGATTGTCTTTGGGACAGTCATGACCTGGAGGACTGAGAATCTCCACAGACATGTTCAGCATGTTGTATATGACAGCTATTCTGATACACGGGGCGATATGTAATCGCCTACTTTTATTTTCCTTCCAACTTCCAATGTCGCAGCCTGTGGCATCGATGGAAGCAACGGATGGAAATTAATCAAGGAGAGAACCAACCTAGAACTAAATGAGACATTTCCTGACAGTGAGAACCATAAATCAGCGGAACCACTTGCCTCCAGAAGTTGTAAATGCTCCAACACTGGAAGTTTTTAAGAAGAGATTGGAAAGCCGTTTTTCTGAAATAGTATAGGGTTTCCCACTGGACTAGAAGACTTCCAACTCTGTCATTGTGTTATTTCTGTTATTAGATTAGTCTTGCCTGTCTGAACTGATTGGGCAGAAGTTTATGACCACACAGTACCAGTTCCCTGCATTACAAAAACACAAAACTTCCTAGGTTAAAATTCCCTTTCGTCATCTTGCCGATCTTAGCATTGCTTCCCAAATTATATGGGTGCATCTCCCAGTCTTTTGGAACAGTTTTTTTCAGGGAATTGGAAGGGAGAAGGAGGAAGCAGCTAACATGTCATCTGGATAAGAATAATAAGGATGTTCATAGGAACCTTGAATCTCATTTATGAACTATTACTTGTGCTCCAGTTCACGCAAGCTTTTAACCCCATTAGAAATGAGAATTTTTTTTTCCTCCTGAGGACCACGCATTTGGAAAGAGATGGTGTTACTATCCCACAGGGAACATAATTCAAGACATTTAGAAGGTGTCTGTAAGGCTCATATTTTCTTTCTTCTGGTTTTGTAGCACTTTATTTGGCCTCGTATGAAAGTGAAGGTCCAGAGAATCACATTGAAAAGGACAGGTGGAAGACACTCAGGTGAGTGCTCGAACCTTTCCAGTATCCATCAACAGACTGAATGTTTCTTCTTGCACTTGAACCAATGTTTTTTGTTTTTTTCCTGTTGGGATAATAATAGCGATAGCACTTAGACTTATATCCCGCTTCATAGTGCTTTACAGCCCTCTCTGAGGGGTTTATAAATGTCAGTATATTGCCCCCCAACAATGTGGGTCCTCGTTTTACCAACCTGAGAAGGACGGACGGCTGAGTCAACCTTGAACCAGTCAGGATTGAACTGCTGGCATCCGGCAGAGTTAGCCTGCAATACTGCATTCTGACCACTGCGCCACCACAGCTCTTTATAGGAGCCATGGCTCTTTATAGGATAAGAGTGCTATATATATCATTTTGTTTTTAGACAAGTGTTCCTCGACTTACAGCCATTCATTTAGTGACTGTTTGAAGTCACAAGAGCACTGAAAAAAGGGAGTTACCGTCATTTTTCACACTTATGACCATTGCAGCATCCCCATGGTCACATGATCCAAATCCAGACATTTGGCACACTGGTATGTATTGATGACAGTGGCCGTGTCCTGAGGTCATGGGATCCACTTTTGCGACCTTCAGACAAGCCAAGTCAATGGGGAATCCAGATAAACAACCGTGTTACTAATTGACCAACTGCAGCGACTCATTTGAACAAATGTGGCACGAAAGTTCATAAAATGAGCCAAAGCTCATTTAACAAATGTCTCACTTAGCAACACAAATCTTGGACTCCACTGTGGTCGTAAGTCGAGGACTACCTGTACATCTTTCTCTTAAAGCACACAGACTGGCCCTGATGGCAAGTTCAGATGGACACAGGACTTCAAAGCAATTGGACAATGTCTTCTTGATGTCCTAATGCCGTGAAAGCATGTGGCATGTGTGCCACAGGTGGCACGCAGAGCCATTTGTGCAGGCACGCGAGCCCCAGGCAAACTTACCTCACTGCTCATGTGCACGCCTCCCAGCTGATTTTCAGGCCTTTTTTGGCCTGCCAGAGGCTTGAGGGAAACCTCTGCAGGCTTTACAGACCAAAAAATAGGACCGTTTTGTCACTTCCTGTATTTCCGGAAATACCAGAAGTGACGAAACGGACCCATTTTTTGGCCTGCAAAGGCTGCAGAGGCTTCCTTCAAGCTTCTGGCAGGCCGAAAAAGGCCTCAAGCGGGTCCGAAAATCAGCTGGGAGGCGCGGTGCAGGTAAGGGGGTGGCAGGGGGGAAATCGCGCACGCATGCGCAGGGGCGGGGGGGGCGTGCATTGCCTTCTGACACGCAAGCGCATGCACAATTTTTGGCCCAGGAGCCCAAAAAGGTTAGTCACCGCTGTCCTAATGGAAGGTCTTCCTTCTCTGTTTGACTTCTCTTATAGGTCCGCGCTTCTGGGAAGAGGCTAATGCATGAGTTGGGTGCTTTCTGCAGTTGCTGCTATGATCTTGACCTGGGTTCTTAGGATGAAGGCCATGGCTGAGGTCGCTTATTTATTTACCCATCCCTCGTCTCCTCCTCTTGACGACCAAGAGGCGCGTTTTTAAGTTATGAGAGCTAAATAGTTGGTGAAGAGCAAGTCGGGACATGATGTTGAGAGGAAAGCCCAGCTGACACGAGTCAGGAAAGGCAAGCTTTCTTCTACCCACTGATTGTCCGATGAAAGGGCCAGTTGGGTGGCATGCGGTTGATCAAAGAGGACCCAGTGAAGGAAGCCTTTTGAAGATCCGAGTCTACTGTGAATCCTTTTGAAGCACCTGGATGGGATTTCCCCCCCCTCCCTCATCCCATCCCACCTTCAAACTCTGCTCATCAGGCTTTCTGGTATTTCCACATTTATTGGATTCCAAGTAGAACTTCCCTTCAATCGATCCAAGGCCAACTGGACTCTTTCAGATGCCACCAGGATCCGAGGAAGATTTTCGCTGACGATTCTTGTCGAAAAGAAATCTGGGAACTCTTGCGGTTTTTCCCTTGAAGGGATAAATGGCTCACGACGTAGTGTTTGTTGCGGGTTCCTTAAGATGTTCAGCTATTTATTACGAAAAGGGGCACGAGTGCTCTGGATTTTTTTTGTTTGTTCGTTTGTTTGTTAGTTTGCGAGTTAGCTGCTGGTTGGCTAACTCAGACTAGATACTAATTGGAAGTTTAAAATATTAAGTTCAGCAATAGCGCTAGGAGAAACGGAGGCTTAGAAAGCTAGGTAGCAAAATGTAGCTAAACTATGTAGAAATGTCACCCTTCTTCTTAAATGTATTATTGTGCTGGGGTTGTTGTTTTTTTTTTCATCTGGGCACATCTGCGCTACAAAGCCATCTGAATTGGGCATGAAGCCAGTTTCATTTCCGTGACATTCTCCAACGAGAAATTTGGTATGGAAATCCGGGTTCAATTTTGAAAGAGAGACCCGTTGGAATAAAGCGGGACTCCGGGTTTGAGGTCCTTCATTGATGGGACCTCTAAACTGGCTTAGAGAATGTTTGTTTCCAAAACTGATTCGTTGGAGAGCCAGAATAATCAGAGAGGTTTGGAGCTGGCTTACATTTCGTAATGTGGGCTTTTCTGTACTTTTCTGCATCTTTTTCTTCACTCTCTGTATTATTGAATTAATTGATTTTGTTTTCTCCTTGAGAGGGTGAGGGGGGAAAAAACCTGCTGGGGATTGTAGGTAGATATCAATTATGATTTTTCAGGTGTGTTTTTTTGTTTAATGTGCGGAAATAATATCTGATCTAGCAATGCTAATTTAAACTCTGAAATCCTACAGACCCATTGAAAGTTTCTCCTAGCTGAGTCTCCAGCTATAAACTCCATGTTTGTTTGGTTTTTTTGTTCCAAGAACCTCTGAAATTTGCTTTGACTACGAAACAAGTCCTGTTATGTCTGTGGTAGCTCTGAATGCTTAGTCCCCGTATTGCCTTCCCCCAAGAAATTCTGAAAAATTGAAAGTCCGTTAACAAGTCATATCCAGAAAAGGGATTTGTATGAGATATGCTATTCCTCAAAAATAATAATAAATAAAAATACATCGTTGGATTGTTCTTCATTGCTTGCACCTTGTGGTTTTGTCAGTGAATTTGCACATAAGATCCAGTAACACATGCAGGTATTTCTGAAATAGATTTAAAAAAGGAAGCACTGATAGTTAGTCCTCCATTTATAACAGTTCATTTAGTGACTGTTTGAAGTTACAACAGCACTGAGAAAGGTGATTTATGACCGTTTTTCACACGACCATTGCAGTATCCCCGTGGTCACAGAATCAGAATTCGGGCGCTTGGCAAGTGATTCATGTGTCAACTCATAACATATTTCTATGGTCTTTTTAGAGTTGCCAACAGAAAGGGAGGGGGAAGCAGTGTAGCAGCTTGCAAAACCAAAAGTGCATTCCATAAATGTTTTCAAAGATAGTAACTAGGTGACTGAAGTTTCTGTCATGCAAAATTCTAACTGGAGAGCATGATTGATGACTCTTGGCTATGGATGTGTCCCATTGGAGAATATGAATTACGATACACCCAGGGGGTGGGGGGAAACCAGGATCAAGGATGACAATGAATTATGTGTCTCAGAGTCAGCTACACCCAGGCAGTGCCGGACATGTTAACTCCCAATAAATCCTTTTGAAGTTTTGGAAGTTTGGCTCGAGACTCATGATTTAAATGCAGGGGTTAACTGCCGGAATCCTGACATCATATTTATGATGGCCGCAGTGTTCCCTGGGTCACGTCATCCCCTTTTGTGACCTTCTGACAAGCAAAGTCAACGGGGAAATCAGGTTCATTTAAACAACCATGTGACTAACTTAACAACTGCAGCGATTCACTTAACAACTGTGGCAAGGAAGGTCGTAAAATGAGGCAAAGCTCACTTAACAAATGTTTCGCTTGGCAACATAAATTGCAGTTGTAAGTCGAGGACTGCCTGTGATCCTCAAGGCACAAGCAATCCAGATTTTATTCCTAAATTGCATGCTGGCACAGCATGCAACATTCCGACTTAACCAAAACCAAAAGTGCATTCCATGAATGTTTTCTAAGATAGTAACTAGGTGAGCGAAGTTTCTGCCTTGCAAAATTCTAACTGGAGAGCATGATTGATGACTCTTGGCTATGGATGTGTCCCATTGGAGAATATGAATTATGATACACCTAGGGGGTGGGGAAAAACCAGGGTCAAGGGTGACTGAATAATGTATCTCAGAGTCTCTATATATTTTTTCAATTCTCTAATCTCTTCTCTTAATCCCAGTGCACAACTCTTTCAGAACTGATTCAGTTTTTCCAGCATTGCTTGATAAAGTAGATGTGAATTTAAAAGGCTGCATGTTTTAATTAACTTGGCTATTAAAACTCTCCATTAACTGAAAAGCATTCATCTGGGTTGTTCGTCAGGCAACATTAATTACTTTTTAACATTACTGGTTTTAGAAATCATCTGAAAGCAAGGAATTTTTGTCGTTTTGCAGGTGACACCTGCTGCTCTGTGTTAATGCATTTACCTTGCTAAATCTGATCTTTTTTCAAATGAGTTGATATTATGAGATGCAAATTTGAGGACCGTGGTTGACTGCTTCTTGCAAATGAGGTTACCCTATTAGCTTGCATAATGCATCACTTATAAACTCTCCCTGTGACAGGAATTCTGATGGATTATGTGCCCAGATGTGGGTTGTTTTTTTTTAAATTATAATAGTAATTTTATTAAAAATTACATTTACAATGATGGAAACGAATACCCAAAACAGAAAAGGATAAAAAGCAAAAACAGGGCACCAAAATAAAAATAAAAAAAGGAATGTAGTAAAGTAAAAGAAAAATATATGAAGAAATGGCTTCCCGCTTCATCACAAGTTTAAAAGATTTTAGTAACTTATCACCTCCTAAAATATCACAAATTATCCCTTCTCCTGACAATTCTCCTAGGAACCAAGGACACCTGGCCAGAGAAAGGAGGAGTGAAGTTACCAGGCAACCAGACAGCACCCTGATTGGACCATGTGACTGATTGTATGGGGAAGGGGAAAAACTTTAAATTAGGTGAAAACTGCGGGAACCTTCAGAGTCGGAGTTTCCCGAGAACCGTGCCAACATGATAGACCCAATAAAAGTATTATTTGAGGAATTCACTTGCCTCGGTGTTTTGCTCGCTATGGGTGAATTAATTGGAACTCTTGACATCTACTGCATCATACTGCAAATGATGTTGCATCATACTGCAAATGATGTTGATTTGGTATCTTGTGTCATTTTCACAATGACCTCATGTTCCATGGGACATAAACTGTCTCTTCTGCAGATGTTCCTGTAGCATGTTCGATTCTACCTTCTGTTCAAATTACCGTGATCAACAAGCCCTTTAGAATCCGCAGTCTGTGTTGGGTTTGGATATGAGCAGAATGCAGATTCTAAAGGGCTGGTGATAAGGACACTTCAGGGATGAATGACAATTTTTATGAATGGCAAGATATGCAGAATCACACTCTTCAGTTCTCAATCCATCAGCCGTCGCTCCTGTGCAAACTACCATGGATCCTGTTCTTGTCTTTAAATGAATTGGGCTCTGGGAGTTTAGTTCATGGATTTTTTTCCACTACGGATCTAGACACCTTCTAAAACTTGTCATAACCTTTAACTGGGCAAAACGACACCTCAGAGGGCCGCAAATTCTGAACCAAGGTCCAAAATAGGCTAACTTACAGAATGAGTCCAAAATCCAGGATCCATGACTCCTGAGGGAATTAAATTTGGGGAAAATGTGGCTCCTTCAGTGCTACTGGCTGCTGTTGCACTGCTACTGTGGTCACGTCAGAGGTGGTATTCAGCCAGTACGGACCAGTTCTGGAGAACCAGTAGCAGAAATTTTGAGTAGAGAACGGGCAAATACCAACCCTGACTGGCCCTGCCAACCCCATCTATTCTCTGCCTCCCTTTGAGTCCCAGTTGATCGGCTGGGTCTCCTCTGGTTGCCCTACACAGGAGAATGGAGCTGGAAAGCAGGTTAGTGGGGTGGGGAGGGAATGGGGATTTTGCAGTATCCTTCCCCTGCCATGCCTACCAAGCCACGCCCACAGAACCAGTAGTAAAAAAAAATTGAATCCCACCACTGGGTCACATGCTCTTAATTTTTAATGCTCCAAGGGAAGGGAAGAGAAGGGAAAGATGGGAAGGGAAGAAGGAAAGGGAAGGGAAGGGGAAAGGGAAGAGAGGAAAGAAAAGAGAGGAGAGAGGAAAGGAAAGGAAAGGAAAGGAAGGAAAGGAAGGAAAGGAAAGGAAAGGAAAGGAAAGGAAAGGAAAGGAAAGGAAGGAAAGGAGGGAAAGGAAAGGAAAGGAAAGGAAAGGAAGGAAAGGAGGGAAAGGAAAGGAAGGGAAGGGAAGGGAAGGAAAGGAAAGGAAAGGAAAGGAAAGGAAAGGAAAGGAAAGGAAAGGATCACACGAGCATGGAGATGCTACAAAAGTTCCAAGTATGAAAAATGGCCATAAGTCACTTTCTCAGTGCCGTTGTAACTTTGAATGGTCATTAAGTGAACGGTTGTAATTGCAGGACTACCTGTATGCAGAGTTTGAGCAGAGTCAACAACTTATGGTTTGGAGGTATCAACAGACCAGAGGTGGTATTCAGCAGGTTCTGACCAGTTCTGGAGAACCGGTGGAGGAAATTTTGAGTAGTTCAGAGAACCGGCAAGTACCACCTCTGACTGGCCCCGCCCTGATCCATTCTCTGCCTCCCAAGTCCCAGCTGATTGGCTGGGTCTTCTTTTGCTGCCCTGCACAGGAGAACGGAGCTGGAAAGCAGGTTAGTGAAATGGGGGAGGGAATGGGATAGTAAAAAAATTTGAATTCCACCACTGGACAGCACAGCCAGTACATCATTGACACACAGTCTTTCCTCTTCTTTTTTTCTAAGATCTCCCACTAATATTTAAAGCAGACCAGAGGTAGGATTCAGCAGGTTCTGACCAATTCTGGAGAACCGGTAGTGGACATTTTGAGTAATTCAGAGAACCAGCAAATCCCACCTCTGACTGGAGATTTTACAGTATCCTTCCCCTGCCAAGCCCACCAAGCCACGCCCACAGAACCGGTAGTAAGAAAAAAAAATTGAATCCCACCACTGCAATATTTCAGGACCTCAAAAAAAGTCTTTTAAAGAGCAATATACTAAATGAGAAGGTGACCTACTATGCAAATTAAGATGCAGCCTCTGGCATTATCTTCATCCTGAGAACGCTGGTTTTTTGTTTTTTTTAAAAAACGCAGTTTAAGATTTGACAATTTTGAGCAAGGAAAATTTTGGATAACGGAGAATTAAAATGCTCCTCTCTTCTGAATTCAGTTTCCATCTCCCAGGAGAAATTTCATTTTTAATGTACAGCCAATGACCGCAGTTGGAATCCGCGTGCATCTCCCTGAGCTTGATAAATCCCGATCTAAATCAAGTTAGGAAATATTTAGCATTGTTGATCAATGTTGCCCTCTTGTGGGCAACGGTCTGTATGGAATTTTTATTTTTTTTATTAAAGCTTATTACATTTATTATAACAATAATTAAACTTTATTACAAGGTGAAGTTCAAATAGGAACAAAAGCTGAGAAAGGTAAAAAGAAAGAAGTGCAGAAAGGAAGGAAAAAGTAAAAAAAGGAGCCACTTCTAATTTTTTTTCAGTGCAATAGAATATAAAAAAAGCCACAACTTCAATCTTTAGCTTTACATGTTTGTGTTTCAAGCCATTTCTACAGCAACAAAGCCATTCCAGTAATCAAAACCTAAAATCAAAATTTTTTCCAGTTTCAAGTATACAAAGTCCAGAAGTAGTTTCCAAGTGGAAATAAAATAGATAAATAAAAAAAAATTATTCTCTTTGAGGGGTGAAGGTGATACAGTTACAGATAACAGATACAGATAATCAGAATTGGAAGGGACCTTATAGGTCATCTAGTCCACCCACCCAAGCGGGATACCCTACACCATTTTTGCTTGCTTGGTTTTTTTTG